CCCCAAAACCCCAAAACCCCAAAACCCCTTAGAGGAACTAAAAGGTAGAAATTAAAAAATGGTATCGTTTAAGGCATAACTAGCACTAATTATTGGTTGATGAGATTTGCACTCATTGTGGTCATCCAGAGGAGCTATCTCCACTAGATTTCACCTTGCTGAATCTCCTTCGATAACCGTACGATGTCAAGGATATCAAAACTTCTTCTTCCATTTAGAGACTTTTTGAATTTATTCTTGATTTTACTTTTATCCCTCCTATACAATCAATTGATTAATTATTCAAAATACAAGGATGTTACTAAGAAAGCTGTCTAAGTAGCCAAAAATCCTTGGACTATACTAGAAACTATACTTAGCATTCTCTTGGTAGCCATTCCATCTATGAAACAAAGAATAGCCTGAAGTAAGATTATCAGCTTTAAAAATTCATCTCACAGAAAATATTAATTCGGAAGCCAGATGAACTTCTAGTGCTAGATTTTCTCATGATATTTAGGTAACAGAGATTGTTCATCTCCTTTAAAGCCAGCCTAGTGTATAATTTGTTGAATTAATGACTCTCTTGGCAAAGCCCTTTAACTATAACTCGATAGACTAAAATTTATAGCACTTGAAGTATGAAATCATTTATCGCGATTTTTGTGGGTTCCATCTGGCCTAGGAACATATTCAAGGAAGTACAATTTTAGATATATGAGTTTTTATTAAGCCAGATTCATATGGAAATAGAGTGCTGAAACAGATATTTAAATTTACTAGAACTCACCTATGTTGAGGTTTTAAGAAGATAGTGCTTTCATACCCATTAATTCTTCTGTATCAGCCTTCTAGGCTCCCTTCTGCTTCCTCAAGCGAGTTTTTGAGAGTCAACTGGGATAGAGAATCTTCAGGCCTCCTTCGTTTTGCGTGAGCAAGACAAATCCGCTTTCCTTTTGTGTGTTTTTTGTAGTTCTGATAAGGATTTGGAAGGAATGGACCTAGAGACATCCGAGGAGACACCACATTTGACACTCTAGGAGAGGTCTCGAGTTTGAGAAGGTTAAGGTCCTTTGGATTTGGTGAAAAGCTATATCGAATTTTTGTGGCTATTCCTATTTCTCCTTGACATTCTCCAAGGCTTTTTCTGAAATAATGAGCATATGTTGAAATAATTCTTACTTAAGTTGCTCAACAGGAATCTTTTTGGCTAATATTGGCTTGAATCTTCTTGATCTAATTTCCATATTATTTAACAGAGTAAATTTATTTTTCTTTTTTGATTTAGGTAATCTTATGATCATTTTTGAGATGTCTTGGTTCATACCTGAAGCCTATATATGATACATACAGTCAGAATTACTTTAGTAGAGCCAGTGGTACCAAAATTTGTATTTAGATAATTCTTTATCCTTCGATCCCCTGTGACTTTAGGAAGAGCAACATCATTCTCATCTTTGATCGGCTCAGGAAGATTTATTGCAGCCATCGATGCTGTCTTACTGTGGGCATTAGGCAAATTGCCACTTACGTTATGAGTAGATCTGAGTGAGGCATTAAGTCGTTAACTCTAAAAGATTTGGATATTGGCTTAAATTTCATCCTTTTTGCTTCCAAATCTAGATGATAATATAACTGAAACCAAATACCTGTAATTATCTTATGTAACTCCTCGGTCTCTGAATTTCCAAAGGAATAGCTCTGCTGGAACAGGCCTATAAAAAGTTATAAATATAAAATTCACGAGCTAAAGATTTTACCATCTTCTTCGTTTCCAAACTTGATAAGAAGTTTCTCTTCACCGCTATTTTTATGAATAGATTTTCTGCTTTTTCTCTTTTTGAGGGTATTCCTATACTGTCAACACCAAAAAGTATTCTCAAGCTTACTCTTTGAAGACCTCTTTGATCAGTTCTGGTTTCGAGCTACTCGCTGATAGGCCCTTGCTAGATGAATTCCTTCGTATTCTTTCACTGCCAATCTTAAAATAATTCTTGAACGCCTAGAGATTGTCATTTTAGGATCATTTATGAGACCAGGGACCTACTTCAGACTCTTTGGGCATATAAGACTTCTTCTTAACAGGCTTCTTCCGTATTTCTGGCTCTGCTTCCAAAGTTTCAGTCACTTTTAACTCTTCAGGACTTTCCTGAAGGTTTCTGACGACAAGGTTGAAGTTAGATATCTGGTTCATATCTGGCTTCACGCCTAAAGTTTAGAGAGAAGGTACCTTCTAATTTTGTCACACTTAAGTTCCGTTTTGCCTTTATTTCATTCGATTGGATGTTCTTATAAATCATGGACAAGCTATTTTGGAAAAATTAGGAAGAGAAATAAAAAGTTAGTTATTCATGTGAAAAAATTCAAAGAAGCATACTTTTTGAAATTTTTGGTGTAGCTGGCATCTTCCTTCGATTCAAGTTTCTCTGCTTCGTGTTTCTTCTTTTTCCTCAGAATTTTAAGTAAGGAAGTAGTTTCTGGGGATTCTTCTCCATCATCTACTGAGATTGCTTCTTCTTTAATTATATTTTTAGGTCCTTCTTATTTTGAATAACACTTCTAACAGCGTTGGACCAGCGAAGAAGGGAGGATTTAGAGTCATTTGATTTGTTAATTGCACTATAATTATTCAACTGGTTATACCTTGTCCTTCTCGGTTGTTCCTTAGGAGTCCGGAGATCTACAGCCTGATTGATAACTTTGCTCCATTTCATATTAGCTCTATTTTTAGCGGCCCATTCCTTGACCTCTATTAGGCTGTTATAGAAGCTTCTGTTGATATTCTTCAATGTTTGCCTCATTAACTTAGGATTATTTCCAAGAATCAGGTTGGCTACATTGTTATTTTAAGACTTTTTTACCTATTGATTCCCATTTATTTCGGTTCCTCTGGTTCTAGATAAATATATACAAAATTCTTGAAATTCAAGAGCCTTAAGCATAGCTTTGTCATATCAATCAGTCAGTGAGATACTTACGATAGCACTTATTCAGGAATATTTTCTTGTTATAAGGATTGATGAAATAATCAAGTTTTTGCTGTAACTTCTTGTCTGGTAGGATATTGTAGTTTTCTAGCTCTCTAAACCAAATATCAAGTCAGGAATTATTCAAAATGGGGAAATACTTAGAATACTCTATGTAATTACTACCTTATCAATTTGCTTTCTTCTTCAGAATCTTCAGAGAAACTATCTCATATTTTTAACTGAGTCCTCGGGTAATTAAACCGAAGGAGCTTCTTTGGAGATTTCGTTATCCTTGAAAGACTGGAGATCTGTTTTGTTATTGCTATATAGTAGAGTTTCATTCATTGTTCCATCTTTTCAACTAAGCTTGCCCTTTAATATCCAGTATTTAAAGAAATATGCAATTATAGCTAGATTTCAAAATTCGAAGAGACTGATAGCAAACTTACAGTGGTTAATCCTCGGTTTTGGAATGCTCTTTGCCTTCTGATCTCTTTTCAATGAAAGAGAAGGACTCTTTAAGAGATGGCTGAATTTATTCTTTTTCATATTTTTATTAACAAAATGGGGTTTTGGGGTTTTGGGGTTTTGGGGTTTTGGGG